GAGGCCGCCCAGGTATCGGAACTCGGTCGTCTGTGCGTACCTTTGCCCCGCTGCTTCGATGATCAGCGGCGGCGGCGGCGGCGGCGGCGGTCGCTGTTTCTCCTTCACCCGCATCACCAATGTCTCCGTCTTCCTCTCCGACACCGTCAGCCCGATCTCCCGGAACACCTCCACGATAATGGTCATCATCCTCGCCAGGCCGTCGGCGGACTTCGACACAACGCCGGCATCGTCGGCATATAGCATCCCCCACACCGCCCTCCGGACTCGGTCCAGCAATCCCTCCCCCCTCCGTTCCTCCTCCTTCAAGTACACTAGATCCCGCACGATAACCTCATCTTGGCTGAACCGTGTGACAATGATCTCGAGAGGCGCTGCGAAGAAGACGTTGAACAGCAGTGGGGACATTGAGCACCCTTGTCGTAATCCCTGCGTGACCGGGAACCAGTCCGATAGCTCCCCATCGTCCGTGCGGACCCGGGCCCGCATTCCGACGTGGAACTTGCGGATGACGGCGATCATCTCCCCGGGGATCCCGGCCCGGGCCAGCACCTTCCACAGTAGCTCCCGGTCCACCGAGTCGTAGGCCTTCTGCAGATCGATGAAGCACATGTAGAGCGGGATTCTCCTCCTCCGCCCCAGCTCCTGGAGTCGGCGCACAACGAACAGCATGCATACCGTGGATCGGCCAGGCCGGAACCCGCACTGTTCCTCCGGGAGGATTTCGTTGGCTTCGCAGAATGCGCTCAGGCGGTTGGTGATGGTCTTGGCGAGTATTTTGCCTACATGCGAGAGCAGCGAGATGCCCCTGAAGTTGTTGCAGTTCGACCGGCCACCCTTTTTGTACAACACCTTAATGATGGCATCCTTCCACTCCTGCGGCATCTCTCCCCCATTCCACACTTCGACGAAGATGGCACGGAGGCGCTCCAGTACAACGGGCTCGTCGTCGCCGTCGACCTTGAGCAGTTCGGCGGCAAGGAGGTCGGGGCCAACCGCCTTCCAGTTCCCCAAACCTTTCGTTGCCACCTCAACCTCCTCGAGGTCTGGTACCGCCGCCAGGCGTCGGGTGGCGCGCGTCGCTGGTCGCTGCGTCACCTGTTCGACAACGTCTGGGTTCAGGGTGGGGGACTTGGAGTTCAGGAGGGTATCGAAGAATCTCCGCCACCGCTTGAGGATGGCATTCTTGTTCCGGAGCAGCACGCCGTTCTCATCTGTAACGAACTGCTGCCCCCCAGCTTGTCTCCCGCTGAGGCCCAATGAGGGAGAAAGCGAGGAACGGACTGGGAAGGACAGCAAGTCCTGGTAGATC